TGGAAAATATAAAACAAATATGCTTTGTAAACCCTAATTTTACTCTAGGAAACAAAAGTAATAATTTGTCATTACTTTTTCATTCTATTATAAATTTTTCAAATTTATTTCAACTGAAACTAACGACTTCTCGAACATTATATAAGGAATGTTAGACGGGTATTCATTATTGAAATTAAAACTTACGTATATGTACTAATGTGATTTCATGCAGTGTATGTGGAGTTAATGCAACGTTGAAAATGAGATATGATGGAAAAAATATTAAAGTTTATCAATTTCCAAATTAAAATTATTTCATGTATAAATTAATTCTTAAAAGAATTTTTTTACGGTTTTTCTAATTATTTGTTTTGAATTTATCCAAAATTTATTTTTCATTAATTGTTTTCTCAAAAGTCCAGAAGTTGGTCGACCTGTACTTATGCTAGTAATTTCGGTGTTCAATAGTGCTATAATCATGCCTCTTTAAGAGTTGAAGAGATATGTCGTCATGATGTAATAATATATCCACAAGAAAATAATGCACAAATATAATTTTATTCAATGTTTACAAAATACATAATTTAAGTTTTTATTTAAAAATAAGATTTATTTTATATTTAAAAAATCTATGATTTTAGTTTAATAGTTATTTTTGATAATATTTTTTAAAAAATTAATTAAATCATTAATAATTTAAATGAATAAGATAAAGTAAATAAACTATGTGAAATTTATGTTTGAATTAAAAATTTGATTTTTTTTAAAACTAGACTATAAATATATTTCTTAAGAAAGATATTGTAGTTTATATGAAATTACTAAAATTGAAGATTGGGAAAAAAAAGGAAGACTGAAATTTTATCTAAGAAAAATAAAATATGTAGTTAATTTAGTCTTTCAAATTCTATCCAATTGCCATCTTAGTCTTTCAAAGAAAATTTTCTAATTCCTTCATAGTTTTATTTAAATTTCTAAAGTTAATCATTTTCCATTTTTGTCCTTACTTAGTTCAGACACATTAAAATGATATTAATAATAATATATTTAATGATAAAAAATAAACAATTACATACAACTTTAAAATATTTATTCAATTTTTTAATTTTAAAAATAATGTAACGAAGATATATAATTAGTAGTAAATTGACAGTATTTTTTTAAAATGAAAAACTACTTTAGTTGCTACTTGCGGCTGAGTATATGTTTTTTTTTTAATTATTTTAACTTTTTGTTGTAACATCCTAAAATTTTTGTTTTAAAATTATTAAAACATTCAATTGCACAGTAGTACAAAAGGTCTCATATGAGATATGGCTACATACCTAAATATATATAATTTAAAATAATAAAAAGGAAAACGCTAATTTGATATAAATGACAAGATTCTATCTATTTTCTCTAGCCACTTTCTATAAACTCACTTGTTTCTAAGTCAAAATAGGATTTTAAGAAGATCACATAAAAAAAATTAGAAGAGTATTATATATATATAT